TATATACGTAAGCATACTATACACGCAAGCATACTATATACGTAAGCATACTATATACGTAAAGCATACTATATACGTAAGCATACTATATACGCAAGCATACTATATACGTAAGCATATTATATACGTAAGCATACTATATACGTAAGCATACTATATACGTAGCATATTATATACTAGGCCATATTATACGTAAGCCGCATGATGTATACTAAGCATAGTACTATATACGTAAGCATACTATATACGTAAGCATACTATATACGTAAGCATATTATATACGTAAGCATACTAGGAATGTCAGTAACCTGCCCATGAACAGCAAACATGCTAATCTCGACACGTAAGCCAACATCCGCAGTAAGCATATCTGACAGTTACGTCAACAAACACTTACGTGGAAATACAAGATAATCGTCCATATGAGTCCGAGGACCACGGCTGGTCTTCCATCAACCACGTCCCCCGTGTTGATATTCACCAACTTTATCTGTAATAATCCGATACCGACATTGTTTAAACTTCATGATTTTTCATCTAACCAATATTTGCAGCGTCATTGTCAGCGCTCCATACAACTTATTACAACTTTAAAACACAAGTTTATACTCAATCAAATCTGGAACAATTCTCCCAGACTCATGCACTCAATAAAGTCTGGAACAATTATTCCAGACTCATGCACTCAATCAAATCTGGAACAATTCTCTCAGACTCATGCACTCAATAAAACCTGGAACAATTCCTCCAAACTCATGTACTCAATAAAACATTTAACAGTCATCCAAAATTTATCAACTTAATTTATAAAACCAGAAGCAATTGCTTCTGGAATCAATCTCGGCATAGTCCTGCTTGCAGTCTAGCTATAGAACTACAGCCCTTCACTCCGACACCTGTGGCGGAGAAAAGGGGCCCCTTGTCAGAAACAAAATTAGTCTTAACATTAGTCTTAGCATTAACTTTTTCTCTTAAACCGTTGACCGAAACGCTGCGAAGTTACCTGAATGAAAAATCGTAGCAGATTACCTCATGACAATACAAAACAAAGTGCTGTCGACTGTCTACGAGAAAATGTTAAGTGTTAAGACTCGATCATGACTAATTTTGTTTCTGACAACGGGCTCCAGGGCTATATTTCTAGAGCTAGCTTGGAGCCATGCTCGTGACACCTGCTTGTATTACATATACCACGCGTAGGCGTAGGTGTCGGCGTTCTTACATTTTTGCTCTGTAGAAAGTTCAGGGCTTGGTTGACGTTGGTGAGGAAGTGTATTCGCTTCATATTTGCTCCGCGCTCCCCGACCTATAACATGCGGGCGCGCATCAAAGTCCATCAGTAATCAACAACAGCAAGGCAACAACAACAACAACAACAACAACAACATAGTTGTAATAAAAAAGCAAAAAATGAGAATCAATCATTCTGAAAACATGGATCTAATTAGTATCTGAGGCGCGTTTCACAAAGCTCCGTTATAGTTCTCCGCTTAGTTGTCCGTTCGCTGATTAGCGAACGGAGGCATAACGGAGAACTTAGCGAACGGACAACTCCTGTTTCACGAACGCTCCGCTATGCCTCCGCTAAATAGGCCGCGCCTCTCTCTCTCTCTCTCTCTCTCTCTCTCTCTCTCTGCTCTCTCTCATCTCGCACTCTCTCGTCTCTCGCTCTCTTGTCTTTTTTCCTCGCGCGCGCCTGTGTCTTTCTCTCTCTCTCTCTCTCTCTCTCTCGCTCTTTTTTCTCGCCTCTCTCTCTCTCTCTCGCTCTCTCAATCTCTCTCTCTCGTCTCTCTTCTCTGCTCTCTGCTCTGCTGCTGTCTGTCTGTGCTGTCTCCCTTTCTTACTTTCTGTTCTTCTTACTCTCCTCACTCTCACTCGTCACTCTCACTCTCACTCTCACCTCACTATCACTTTTACTCTCACTCTCTCATCTCACTCTCGCTCTCTCTCTCTTTCTATCTTTTTTTTCTCTCTCTCTCTCTCTCTTCATTCTCCTTTCTCTCTCTCTCTCGCTCCTCTCTCCTCTCTCTGTCTGTCTCCCTTTCTTACTTTCTGTCTCTTCTACTCTCTCACTCTTACTTTCTCACTCCTCCTTCTCACTCTTCACTCTCACTTTTTACTCTCACTTCTCTCTCTCTCTCTCTCTCTCGCTCTCTCTCTCTTTCTGGTCTTTTTCTCTCTCTCTCTCTCGCTCTCTCTCTCTCTCTCTCCACTTCTCATCTCTTTCTCTCTCTCCTCTTCTCTCTGTCTGTCTGTCTGGTCTGTCTGTCTCCCTCTCTTGACTTCTGTCTTCAGTCTCTCTTCTCACTCTCACTCTCGCTCTCACTCTCACTCTCACTCTCATTTCTCTCTCTCTCTCTCTTCTCTCCTCTCTCTCTCTCTCTTCTCTTTCTCTCTCTCTCTTCTCTCTCTCGCTCTCTCTCAGCTCTCTCTGTCTCTCTCTCTATCTCTCTCTTCTCTCTCTCTCCTCTCTCTCTCGCTCTCTCTGTCCTTCTCGCTCTCTCGCGCGCGTCTTTGTCTCTCTCTCTCTCTCTCTCTCGCTCTTTTTCTCGCTCGTTCTCTCTCTCTCTCTTCTCTCGCCGTCTCTCTTCTCTCTCTCTCTCTCTGGCTCTTCTCTCTTTCTTCTCTCTCTTCTCTCTCTCTCTCTGTCCTGTCTGTCTGGTCTTTGTCTCCCTTTCTTACTTTCTGTTCTCTTACTCTCCTCACTCTTACTTCTCACTCTCACTCTCACCTCTCACTCTCACTTTTACTCTCACTCTCTCTCTCTCTCTCTCGCGCTCTCTCTCTCTTTCTGTCCTTTTCTCTCTCTCTCCTCTCTCTTCTCTCTCTCTCTCTCTTCTCTCTTTCTCTCTCTCTCTCTCTCTCTCTCTTCTCTCTCTCTCTCTCTCTGTTCTGTCTCCTTTCTTACTTTTCTGTCTCATTACTTCTCTCACTCTACTTCTACTACTCACTTCTCACTCTCACTTCTCACTCCACTTTTACTCTCACTCTCCCTCCTCTCCTTTCTCTCTTTGCTCAGGTCTCTGCTCGTCTTCATTCTCGCGTCGGTCACGCCACGCTACTCACGCATTTCTCTACGATCCTCTGCCGCTTGCTCTCGCCCTAAACTCTTCTCAATCCGGTCGCTCTCTATGGTATATGCCGTATCTCGGCTAACTACTGCATGTTCTCTCCCGTCTTTCTCTCCTCTCTCTCTCTCTCTCTCTCACTTTTCTCTCTTTCTCTCTCTCTCTCTCTCTCTCTTTGTCTGTTCTGTTCTGTCTGTCTCCCTTCTCTTACTTCTGTCTCTCATGTCTCTCTCTCACTCTCACTCCTCGCTCATCACTCTCACTCTCACTCTCATTCTCTCTCTCTCTCTCTCTCTCTCCTCTTCTCTCTCTCTCTCTCTGTCTTCTTTTCCCGACTCTTACTTTCTGTCTCTCACGCTCTCTCACTCTTACTCTCACTCTCTCTCAACACACACACACACACACCCGCGCGCGCGCACGCGCACGCGCACGCGCACGCACACGCAGACGCAAGACGCACACGCACGCACGCACGCACGCACGCACGCTCACACACACACGCACACTCACACACGCCACGCACGCACGCAGCGCACGCACCGCATCGCCCGCCAACGCCACGAAACGCACAGCACACGCACGGCCATGCTAGGCCACGTACCCACGCACGTCAGCGACGCACGCAGCGCATAGCGCCCGCGCGCACACACACACACCACACACACACGAACACACAACACACACACACACACACACACCGCGGGAGCGGGCGTAATCTTTCCGATCCGCACCTCTTTAATCGACCTTCAAAGTTATCTCTGCACTGACTCTTTTCGCTATCCCACGCGATTATGACGACCGTTGCTGAGAACACTAGTGCCCTCTCTCGGGCACTCGCCCATGTAACTATGCGCACGGGCCGTGTCAGCCGTATTTAACAGCTAATAAGCCATTACGTAATAGTAATACAGTAAACGTGTTAAATAATTTGGGTGTGTTTTTGCAGCATGAGCCGCCCCTGACCGTAGAGGATTTGTTCAAAGACATCAAGGATGGCACGCGTCTGCTGGGGCTCCTGGAGGTCTTGTCCGTGCGCACGCGACTGGTAAGCACATAAAACACGATAATTACGAGATGAATAGGATTTGGAACGAAGCAAATAACTTCGATCACGTTATCAATTAATCATCACATCACTGTCTATCAATGTGCAGGTTATATTTTCTGTCATTGATAAGAATGGATTCACTGATTTATTGATTTAATCATATTCGATTATAACAATGATTTGATTCGATTATTTATCATTGATCAGATACTAATTAGATCCATGTTTTCAGAATGATTGATTCTCATTTTTTGCTTTTATATATTACAACTTATGTTGTTGTGTTGTTGTTGTTGTTGTTGTTGTTGCTTGTTGTTGGTTGCCTTAGCTGTTGTATGATTAACTGAATGGACTTTGAATTGCGCGCCACGCATGTTATAGTCGGGTGAGCGCGGACGCAAATATGAAGCGTATACACTTCCTCACAACCGCTCAACAAGCCTGAACTTTCTACAGAGCAAAAATGTAAGAACGCCGACAACCTACGCGTTGGTATATGTAATACAAGCAGGTGTCACGAAGCATGCGCCTTCCAAGCCCAGATGGAGGACGGGATACTAGAGAAGCCCCGTTGCCGAAAGGAAGGTTGTTGATCCCAAAAGCGCTATAAGCGCAGATGTGGCGCGCAATTCGACGCAAGGCGACCGACCGCCCGGGGGGGGAAACGTCCTACCGACAGTATGCAAGCGCTGGCCAGCTTTATGGATCCGTGCGCGAAATCAAATTGGCGGCGCACGGAATCCATAGCTGCAGCGAACAGCTCCGCAATTTTCATGGGGGACACAGAGCGGTAGAACATTTTGCGGACGTGAACAGTGTTCACTTGTTATAAAAACTGTAACCGAGTAATCTGCTTCGTAACAGAGCTGCGTGTCACGCGAAATCACAAAAGGAATGTCGAAATTACTACCATTCTGGGAACCGCCCAGTAATTCGGAACGGGCTGTCAGATCAGGAAAACCAGCCTACCGGACGCCCTCTTCAGCGCCCCAACGCTGCAACGTTTTTGCCAATCGTTCAAATGGCGAGGCTCGTACGCGGAGTTGGAAAGCAGTGCGCCGCCTGCCGCCGGCCTATAGACCCATAACATAGCACTCTCTCGCACCTCTCGCGGCTTAGCTTAGATCACTCAATGGCCTAATCGAGCGTGGGAGCGAGGTCCTAGTCTATAATACTAAGCCTCTTGCACCTCGAAAACCTTCTTGAAACAGAGTAGGCCTATACTAGAACATTAACAATTTCGTAAGTAAATAGATTTCGTATTTAAGTTAGCATTATAATTTATTGAAACGCGTCAAGTGCCTGCTGTCTGTATAGCCTAGGGCGTATTCTAACCCTAGCAAAGACGTTTCTTGCTAGTCGTGAGTTAGTCTAGTAGTCACGTTGATGCGTTCAAGGGATAGAGAACCAATGGCTCCCAATATTATATTGGGCCCCAATGTATGGGCATGGGGAATAAAACCAACGGTCATTTTACATCAATATAATCTCAATATTATT